AAAAAGAAACCTGTGTAGTCGAGAGTGGAAACCTCAGGTTTGTCATCCTTCCCCTTCAGTTGTGTAATAGAGGTGGAAGAAAGTTCGGTGAGACTTTGACACTAGTCGAGTTGGGAAGCGAAAGAAAAGGTTTTTAGTCAGAGGTACTACTGCTAGTACAGTCAACAGCAGTTCTCGATGAATGTGAATGTTTTCATGAAGGATGCGAGCTGAATGGGGTTTAGGGAAGCAAGACTGTGTACCGTGTACTGTAAAATAGTGATATACAGAATCCGAACTGGAAGCTTGAAAGACGTTCAGAATAATTCGCGTTGTGGGCTGTAGTACTCCTGTTACCCGGTCCAGACCATGTAATATTACTAAAGTGTACTTATTCATTCGCTTAACAGTTTTTTCAAAATAAACGAAAAGCGCCAAAACAAGACTGGAAAAGAGTCTATAATATGAAAGAACATGGAAGAACTCTTTGGATTGCCACCTTTGGTTCGGTGAAAAAGAAAATAACTGATCACTCGGTTTTCAACGATTGAACTCACCCTGCCAGATAACGGATCAAAGGCAAACAAACTATTGTCTTTTCCACCAGTAAGAATGGAATTCTCAGTGACCATGAAATTTGAGGAAAACAAAGAATCCACGGTGAGGGGCAGCGCTTTAAGCGAATTCCGATTATTATTTTCTCCAGATTTCTTCTCCAAAAGATACAGCTGTCCATCAAGTGAGGGTACAATAGTATAGTCTGAATCTTCAGTTACTAACTGACAAATAATTAGGCTGCAAAATACCCACTCGTAGGTCGCTTAAACTTTGCGATATGAGCGGTGGACCAGGTATCTCCCAAAGCTCCTTGCCAGAAGAAACATCAATACCCACGAAAGAACCGTCTACGGTATTCACAATAATTACTCTGAAACCAGACGAATTCCGGTTACTTATTACATTTGGTACCTCTCAACTTTGTCAGGAGGTGCACCAAGAACGCCACCCGAAAACTTATGGTACAGAAAAAAACCAGCCAAAATTGTCAGAATAGTCCATAATCTTCTTCGCAATAGCAATAGCATTTCAAATACATCAACATCCGCAATCAGAGATTTTCAATGACAACAGCAACACGTCATTCCAGAGTAGAGCCGCGAAGGTCATTTAAAGGTCAGTTCAGTTCAGTTCAGTTATCCCAGGACGAATTGTGGCTCTTACCAATCGCGCGTCCAGTTCTTTGTGTTGTCGGCGGTTTCGTTGGCTTCCAACACTTCGGGTCAATAGTAGTTCCTGAAAGGCAGAATGTTAGTGTGCAGTATCAGATCCCTTATAGTATTTTGGAAAGTAAAGCCTAACGATTGACTTTCAACACTCAACTTCAGGGAATACCACTGTACGTAGAGTGGTTCTCGGACGGGGCTTGAAGATTTTTTGCTGTGCCCTCGGGTAGGC